GCCTCCCAGCGTAGTCAGGCACCATCCCCCACTAGGATCTCCTGTCACCTTGCTCTTCCATTTGTGCATGTTTAATAAGTGCGACCCCCCCCCCCACGCTTGTCCCTGTGGACTAAGAGTGGTCCCAAGTGTGCTCCAGCTGCCAGAGGTCTTCCCTTCAGGAGGCCATGCCCCCAGGGCCTCTCCAGGGTTAGCAGTGCAGCTACACTTTGCTTGCTTTCTCCAGCTGAACTGATTACTTTTCTACTCTCTGTTGGGCATTTTTAAACACGGCTTAAGCAGAATTATTACCCAGGGAGCAGGAGACAGCTTGCTCTCTCCCTGTTGAAGCATCAGGTTAGTAACTGATGTCTGTTTTGGCAATACCGACTCCTGAGACTTCAAACATCAAAGGGCATTGTAGTCTATGCACCCAAAACACAAGCCAGTAATTTATTTCTGCCTGTGATATAATGGAGTAAGTCTTGCACTGAGGAATCTGATAACTTAGAATCGAGTTCCGGTTGCTCTGCCTTGGATGGTTCGCGTCACTCAGTTACCCTCAATTTCGTCGTGTGCAAAATGGAGATACCCTAGTAGAAACCCTCACAGGGCAGCTGTGAGAATCACAACGAGGTCATGTATGTGAGAGCACTGCATCCTATAAAGGCTTCGGCAGATGTCAGACATCAAAGTTAACTAATATTCCACATGCTTTTTCCTCCAGGATCCTCAGGCTCACAGCTCAGTCTGCTCATCTTTGCAGCGAGAACACAAGGCTGCATATTGCACAAGGTCCCCCACACAATGTGGAAACTGATATCCTCACCAGCTCCCCTCACGAGAAATCACTAAAAAGAGCCAAAAGACCACTAGAAATGTTTCACTTCAAGCAGTAAAAAGGAAGGAAGAAGCTTATTGCGTGTCATAACACGTTATCTTATCCATGTTACTCTTTCCTTCCCTCCTCCTCTGTGTCCATGCATGCATCTGTCCATCCATCCATCCATCCATCCATCCATCCATCCATCTATCCATCTATCCATCCATCCATCCATCCATCCATCCATCCATCCATCCATCCATCCATCTATCCATCCATCCAACCTTCACTGAAGCACATGGGGATGTATAATACAATTGATTGTTACACAGTGCCTGCCCTTTAATTACTTATTGGAGTAAGAGAGACAAATGGGTAACAAATACCTAAAATATTATATGACCAAGCGCTGTAAACTGATCAGGTAGAGGTCTCTCCCTCCCATATCCCATCTCTTCTTCCTTTCTTTCCTTATCCCCTCTTCTGACTTTGTTTCATCGTTCTTTGTATAATGCCTGGTGATCGAGAAGATACTGCAGGCCTTTCTCTTTTTCTTAAGAAACACCGACATCGGGCAGATCTGCTCTTTTTCAAGCTGCCTTGAAAAGTGTTTATTTTTCTCTAGAGATAGAGGACAGACTTGTTCATTAATTGAAGAATAATACTTTAATGGACTTTATGGTTATGAAACTCATAAATCCAAGACCATCTTCTGGGATAGAGTGCTTTAAGACAATAAGTATTAAATGTTTTGCATAATTAAAATGTCTTCACTGAGGGTAGAATTGCAAATCTCAGATAATTTTCCTCTACAATTATGTTTCTTCTCTAGAAGCCTCAGAAAAGACCTGCCTGGACTACAAGTTGGAAAGACAAGTTTTTTTTTTTAAGATTTATTTATTTATACAAAAGCTGGGGTACAAGCCAGAGGTGCGGGAGGGTGAGAAGATTCACAAGAGAGAAAGCGGAGAACAGAACAGGCAGACGGACAGAAAACACTGCTGAGGGGAGCAGCGGGTGAGCCAGGAGAGGTCTGCCGCGCCATGCGGGTATCTCTCTGGCCAGCCGGGACGAACTTGTGCTGCAGAGGCTGCAGACAGCTTCACAGCGCTGCGCTCAACCCCCTGCACCACCAGGGAGGCCCTGGAAAGACAGGTTTTTTTTTTTTTTTTTTTTTTTGAGAGGAATTGCTCTCTTCATCATGACCACAGAGCAGGAGAGCTCTGTTGAGTGGAGACCTTGAGGGAGGCGTGGCTCACAGCCTCCACGAGCAGCCTGATGGTTGTTGTACCCAAGTCTTGTTAATCACTACAATGTCTATTTAGAATTAAAAGACAGTTCAGGGTACATAGGGGGCAAAGCATTTTTGAGAATAACAGAAGCCCTGGAAGGCTGGTTTCTGCTCCATCCTACAGATGACTGGATGTGGGTTGGAGGAGCAGACAAGAGCCAGGTGGCGGATGAGATGACCCTCACCATGTGGAAAACACCCCTTGGGGAGTCTCAGAGTAAAGTGATTGGCTCATTTTTCAGGGTATTATTGAGCATGTGATTCCTAAAAGGGGAGAGTCTCAGGCACCTAGGTGTTAGCGAGATCCACTCAGTAATTTCTCACCCTTCTTTATGCAAAACACACCATGCTACAGTTGTTGGCTTGGATTCTTGCCTGAAGAGAATAGGACCCATGTGTGCCCACCAGCAGGTTGGGCAGCCTCTTCTCAGACGAGGTCAGCAGCCAGCCCTGAAGTCAGCCTCATGGAGGTGGGTGGGCTTGAGCTGAGACTTGAAGAAGGCACAGCCCCCTGACTTCCCACTCCGGAGTACCCTATTCCTTGTAGTTTGCATCTAATCTCACACTTGGCTACATGCTCTAGTTGATACTGGGATCTCTCTCTCCCCAACCAGGAGGGAACTCCCTGGCAGCATGTTTCTCCTAACAGGGTTTCCAAAACCTATGGAAGTGCAACCTGATGCCTAAAGAATGTTTTCCCACAAGCTGGTTTGGGCTCAGCAGAACCATCTGAGGCTGACAGAAGGCTGGATTCACCCACCGGGAACAGATTACATCACCAAGTCTAGCCACCGGAGACTCTACCTGGTCTTCATTTTCCTAAAAGGTTCTAGCAAGTCTGCAAAGGTAGAGAACCTGAAAGGAAAGAAAAGCTTACCCAAGGGTGCAAAGGATTCTCCATGGGCAGAAGCTGTCCTTGCTATATAAAGTAACACTGATGGGGGAAAAAAACTGTAGTGAAGTTCACCAGCTTTGGAGTCAGAAAGATCTGGGGTTGAGTCCCCAGTGATCACTCATTGGCCGTTTGAACTTGGAGAAGCCATTTTCCTCATTTTATTTTCAGATCTGCAGAGTGAGGTGTTATTAACTCCATGTAAAAATAATGAGAATGAGGCAGGAAGAGCCATGGATGTGAAATGCCAGCACAGAATACATCCACGCGGAGTAGATACTTGCCAGAGGTCTCCGGGCAGGGCTAGAGATTCTTTTCTCTGAATCACGATGATGATGATATAACAGAGACTTGCCTTTAAGAAGCCCCTTAAAATTTACAAAGTACTTTTCATTCATTAACCTCAAGAGAGTGGAATCTGTTTGAGGAGCTGGCCCTGGAGAAACAGGCCTTGGTTTCCTTCTAGGAGATTAATTTTTATGTGTCAAGAACAGGAGGACTTTCCATATCCCTACAAATACCTGTCTTCCCATTGTGCACCTCCCAACAGGGGTGTGGCCTTGGTGCGAAGTCTTGTGTTCTCTTGAGCCTAGGCCTCCAGGATCCAGAGCTACAGAAGCAGTGATATGGGGGCCCCTGTGAGATGTTCAGTATGGAGCTAAGGAGGGGCTAGACTCACAGCTCCAAAATGGAAGAACTTCCTGGTGAGCCCCACCCTTATTCCTGGAACCCAAGTAGTCAGTTGATCATTTTCTTTCTTTCCTTTTGCCTTCTGCGTGGTTGAATGGTGTCTTTTTCGCCCCCAAAGACACATCCACCAGGAATCTATGACTATGACCTCGTTTGGGAAAAAGTGCCTTTGCAGAAGTAAGTAAAGTATCTCAAGAAGAAGTTGTCATGGATTGTCCAAGGTGGCCCTAAATCCAACAACAAGTGTCTTTAAAGAGACAAGAAGTCAAAGTATGGGCCCATGCAGGACAGAAGTCATGCAAAGGTGGAGACAGAGATTGGAGTGATGCAGCTAGAAGCTGAGGCTCGACTGGAGGGACAGAGCCGACAGAGTTAAGGTGTGATTCTTCTCTTCCCTGGGGCCTTTGGAGACAGAATGGCTCTCATCTGGGATTTCTAGTCCCCAGAACTGTGAGAGAAGAAATTCTGTTGTTTTACACCACCAAGTTTGTGTGATTTCTACAGCAACTCTAAGAAAGTAATACACCATCCCACATATATACACACACAGAATTCTGCCAGAAAAATGGAGAAAGAAAACTCTAAGTAGGGAGAGATACTGAAGTGTAGCTTATTACCAGTTCTTGAAATTTAGATTGTGAAAAAATTCATGTATGCAGAAAATTGATGACTCCACTGCTGGAGGGAGAGGCCACAGGAAGAAATTTCTCCTCTCTCTCTCTCTCTCTCTCTCTCTCTCTCTCTCTCTCTCTCTCTCAACCCTGCCCCCATCAGGGAAAGCTGGTGGATTCCTTCAGCTGTTCTAAGCAGTTGTCCCATTTGTATGCCCTCCAAACTCAACTGTTCCTCTCAATCCCAGAAGGGACTTGCTGAGCAAAGCCTGACATTTTCCAGTTCTTGGGTCTGCGCCTGAAATCAACAACCCTCACCAGGCAGGCTGAACAAATCCCCAAGATGTCAGCACAGAATTCTTTCGGCTGAGGCTTCTCCTTCCCTTCCCTGAAGACAGCGTGGCGAGTCTCAGGCGCCATGTTAACAGATGAATGTTCTCTGAGCAGAATCGTAAAGTCAGCGGAAGCAGCCCTAGGGCCTTCCTGACAGGCAAAGCTCAGGACGCCAAAACTTTAAGAAAGATTAGTTAGGGCTATGGAGCAGCTTTGGTGAATATTTTCTGGTCAACATTTAAATTGATGCCCTAGTAAGTGGCAATCCAAGACGTTAAAAAAACCTGTCACCCGGGTGCGGCCCAGGGCCCAGGCTTGGGAATGCTGCTCCTGTGTCGCTGATGTCACAAAGTCTTTGCATGTGCCAGACAGTGTGGGTGGGAAAAGCTTGAGGCTTCCTCACCATTCACCTCTTTTCTCTCTCCAGCTTTCCAACATATCTGTCAGATCCTGCATCTTTCATCGTCCGTTGTGAGTCTTCGTGAGGAGGGTCACTTTCAGGTTTAAAAAGTTTCGTAGATGTGTCATATGTATTAAATCAAATTTAAAAAAATGCCTAGTTGAGTCAACCATCAGAGCGTAGTGCCTCCCATCAGAAGGCACAGCCTCCAGGATGGCAATACTGTCACCCAGTGCTGGCCCAGCCATGACCAAGGGCAGTGGCGCCATGTCTGGATGATCTCACTTCAAGGCAAAAGTGGTGCCACAGAGGAGCGTTACCTGCAGCCTTTCAGAGACAGGTGGGGAGAACGTGGGGTGGGAGGTGGGAATTCCTAATGGGCAGGAGTTGGAGGCAGATGGAGGACCTGAGTCCACGTCAGGAGAACAGGAACTTGTGTTTTTCGAGGGTCTTGGGTGGTAATTGGCTGGGGCGTAGTGCGTGAGTCGGGTGTTAGGAGAAGGAACAGTGGGGAAAGAACCAAATTAGTGGGGACTTGTTGATCACATCAAGGATTCTGAATTTCACTCTGAAGGTAATGGCAATGATAAGATAATTTTTTTAAATTTTAATATATATTATTTATTTAATATATTTTGTACATCGTTCTTTATTTTTTTTTTAAATGTATGCTTTCTCATCTTGGTTATAGTCCTGGTAAAATTCCCACCACCAATTACCCTGTATACCATCACCACAGTCCCTTGTACTCTTACCACCCTGATTTTGATTTTACTCCCTTCTCTGCACCTGCAGAATGTCTCTAGTTTATAGTTGCTTGTTAATTTTGATTTTCACTTTATTATAATAAACTTTTTTTTCCTGATCCCTTATTTGGATCCTCTACATTCCTCCTATATGTGAAACCATCCAGCATTTTTCTTTTTCTTTCTGGCTTATTTCACTGAGCATGAACCCTTCCAGCTCCATCCATGTTGCTGCAAATGGCATGAGTTTATCTTTTTGATTGCCGAGTAATATTCCATGGTGTATATGGACCACATCTTCTTGATCCAGTCAAATAAGATAATGTTAAGCAGAGGGTTGACATGATAAAATTTTATGACAGATCATTTTAGAAAGAGTCTTCTGATAACAGCAGGAGGCAGAGATGGGTTGGGGTGAGACTAGCCAGAGGCAGGGAGACCAGGAAGGAGGTTATTCATTCTGACTAATGCACAAATTCAGCATCAAATCAAGGTTTCCTTCTAGGATTGGCACCAACTTTCTTCTGCTGGTTTTCTATGATCATGTTTTCCTGCTGGGGTCACCTCTTGTCATGAGAAGACAGCACATCAGTCTCTCCTTATAATACATCAAAGGTAAAATACACACAGTCTGTTTTTAGTGCATTTTGATATGTAATTTGCTTTGTTTCTAAATTTAATTCTTGAGGCATGACTTGACTTTCAGGTACATGCTTTGGGGAAGTCCTAGGTACTAGATCACAGGCAAGAAGAGTGAAGTGGCAAAGATTCTTCACACAAACAGGAAATCACCCAACCTGGAGGGGGCTAAATGGAAGCTACTATGATAACTCCCACAAGGCTGTATCTGCCAGCCCCTCCCCGTCTCTTTTGGGGGAAGGTTTCTGTTATACCTCAAGTATTCATCACAGCACCAAGGGAACAGCTGAGCATAGCTTTCCTTTTCAGCTGAGGGACCAACGTGTAGGCAGTGGGCACTCAAAAGTTAGGAGGGCTTGAGATAGAAGTGGTCTCTGGAGAATTGAAGCCATTGAGCATATAAACAACACACTGAAGTTTCTGTATTTGATTATTTTTCTTTTCTCTAAGGGAGGGATGTTAATTTCATCCTCACGCTAAGAGTTTTATGATGTACACTCAGCAGAACAGAGAGTGGAGAATGAAATTTCCAAGAAGGACTCTTGAAACCACAGGGAGGAAAAACATCAGGGAGTATAAGATTCTTTAAAAGAGTATTCAGACATGAAGATGAATGATAAAAGCTCATTTTTCTAGTTTATAGTCATCTGAGAGGAGGAGAAGTGGGCCTGGTAGTATAAGGGAGGGAGAGAGAAATATGAAGAAAAATGAGAAATGCCGGCAAGAGAAGCCTCTCTTCACACACACACACGCACACCCCTCTCTTGTTTTTACAATAAGAAACTATTATTTGAAACTTCCCTTAAATGTTTTACTCCCTCCCCCGAATCTGAAAACTACAGATATTCTTTAAAGTTTCTCTTTCTCTCAGTTGGGTCAACTGGACCCCTGATCTTGCTGCTCTGGACAGAATCTCCAAGTAATTATCTAATTCCAAAGCTTCTAGGACCCTCCCTTGCTCTTGGCTGGCAAGCTGCCCAGTCTGTATATGATCTTTGCCCTCTCGCTTTCTTTTGCTTCTCTTGCAAGCTGTCACCCCTTTTGTTGCCTGACTGCTGTGACCATCAGCTGCCATTGAAGCAGGTCAGGAAGTGGGAAGGCCAAGGCCATGCGTTGTGCCAAGCTCCTCCACTGTGCTTTGGTGAAGGTTTGGGGAAGGCATTTAAATGCTGCCTACGTTTAGATAACCTATGGATTCAATCTCTAGTTTCATTGGATGATTTGTGGATTTAAATTCTAAAGTTAATTCAATCAAGTGTCTGGTAAAAATATTTAAAAATTGGTCTGACACCATCAGAATTAAACCACATATAGTTTGAATCTTTTCCCGTTGTAGTTAATAATGATGTTGTTACAGAAATTTCTTCCTTACCCAGCAGGAGATCTGGGAACACATGCTGCCCAACATGTCAGCAAGACTTAATGTGGGAATTCCTCACTGTCTGAGTTATAATATAGTGAATATATTACGCATTACATGGAAATAATACATACTTGGTATAGTTCTACCCCTAAAATGTTGCAGTGAACAAGAATCCTTGTCAATAAGAAGTTGACTTTTCTTTAAAGATTTATTTATGCATACAAGAACCAGCGTACAGGCCAGAGGTGTGGGTTGGGGAGGGGATTCACCAGAGACAGAGTGGGGAGCAGAACAGGCAGACTGACTAAATATACTGCTGAGGGGAGCAGCTGGGAGACAGGAGAGGTCTGCTGCGCTGTGTGGGTATCTCCCTGGCTGGGGATTGAACTTGTGCTGCAGTGGCTGCGGATAGCTTCATAGGTTGTGTCTTTATCACTTGTGCCACCAGAGAGGCCCAAGAAGTTGACTTTTTAAGATGATTTTATTATGAGACTGTATATTGCAAACCCACTTCCACATTACCACTTTAAAGTAAGCATAATTTTCTTACTTCATACCCTATGAAGGGTACACGGTCAGGAAAAAAGACCCCAAAAGTGATCTGTCGCTGGACTTTGAGTATTCCGGGGGTATTGACACTCTCCAAAGAATGATATTCTTGTATGTGCTGTGTGTTTCTGTAAATCATATTTCGGATTCTGCACGATGATCTTCTCAGCAGCCTTTGCCCGTGGCATTCATGGCCTCTGACAGATCTATCCCCCAGCTGGTGTTGACTTCTCCCTGCAGTGGAGGGAGATCATTAATCTTGCATGTTCTTGCTCTGTGTTTTTTTTCCCTTTGCTGAGATTTTAAAACAGATTGTGCCTGTTTCCACTGACCTTTGAGAGATTTGTCATTTGTCCTCTTTTAAACAGGTTGTGTAAAAACCAATTGCTTGAGTGTAGCTGGGGTCACGGGCAGTAATTCTGTCACCAGAGCGGGAGCCTTGGTTTTGTCATCTTTCCCTCAGTCAAAACCAGGAGGAGGGCATCGCCAACAGAAGTGTCTATTATTGAGCAGCTAAAAGCTCTGGAACCATCCTGATTAGTGATTCTCCTCCAGGCCCAGTGACATCACCTCCGTCCTGCCTCCTGAGCTGTATTGATAAGGAACTGGAGACACTGGCCCTGGTCAACTGCCAATAGCTGGTGAGATGGGATTTCCTGACTGGCCTCTGTCGTTGGCTCTTGCAAGGGGGGGTTCTCTTGACTATGGAGAGAGAAGGGATTGTATCTGCACAGCTGGCATAGAGAAGGGGAACGGAATTATTGAGTGAAGACAGGTGTTTAGAGCGATACAAACGATTCCTGAATGAAGGAATGGGTGGGCTCGGGCCAGCGCGCTTTAGCCTTAATTAGAGCTTCTTCCTCCACGGCTGGTTGTACACTCGTTTCTTTCGGAATGCCTTAGGAAATTCTGTCAACTGCCCATTTCACGTAAAGTTTCCATTCCTTTAGTAAAAAGGTTTTGGCTTTATTATTATTATTTAAAAGTGGAAAGGCGCATTGTCGAATGTTTACATGACTTTTCAATTCACGTTGAAGTTCTTGGTAGGATTAAAAGCAAGTGATGACAAACGTTCAGAGCAGGCTGCATGCCTCCATCAGACTAATCCCCTATTAGGGTGAATCTCTTTCACATTCCGCAGGCAGGGCCTGTGAAGTGAGGGGTGACCTGTGGGGTGTCTGCTGTGTAAGCTCCTTTACAATCCCTTTCTGCCTACATTTGGTGCAGTCACTCAATAAAGAGATCATTGTGCTGCATTTACATATTTGTGCTAAGTTCTTTAGTTCTCAGTCAAGGCACCTTATTTGGACCTTTCACAGTCCTTGTTGTTTAGTCTCTGATTTCCTCTCTATCGTCTTTAGTTTTTTGGATTTGCTGTGCAGTGCTGTGTGGTCTGTAGCAGTGGACTTGGCTCCATTCTGGGTGCACATCACGGTTCTGGTTGTATTTGATGCCAGCACCTTCACAGCCCAGTGCTGGTCCCTCGGCATGGGTAGTGCCAGGTTCAGCCCAACCCTGTGGGATGAGACAAAAGACCCTACTAATAAGGTGACTCACAATAGACTTCTCATGATTCAAAAAGAGTTTGATGATGTGGGCCTCCCTGGTGGTGCAGGGGTTAAAGATACAGCACTGTCAAGCTATCTACAGCCTTTGCAGCACGAATTAAATCCCCAGAGCCAGGGAGCTACCCACATGGCACAGCAGACCTCTCCTGTCTCGCCCGCTGCTCCCCTCAGCAGTGTATTTCGGTCAGTCTCCCTGTTCTGCTCCGTGCTCTGTCTCTGGTGAATCCTCTCACCCCCTGCACCTCTGGTCCACACCCCAGTTCTTGTATGCATAAAGAAATAAATCCTTCAAAGAACAAAAAGAGTTTGATGAAACACTAGAAATAATCTAATGATGGATACTAAACTACTTGTTTACTGTTGATTTCCATACACTTAAAAATACACTCTTATGACTGATAATAAGGGCAATAGTAAAAGTAGTTGCTGTGTTGAGCTGTATTTGTGTTTGGACTATAATGGATATTTCTACCCGAATAAGAGGCACTGAAGCCAAGAAGCAGAGATTGGATTGGCATTACGACCTCGGAGCCCCCAAGAAAACATTTGCACCCGCACACCCTTGGCAGTGGCGAGCTCTCCTGCAGCATTTGCTGAACTCCTGTCAGTGCCTGGAAAGGTTTTAGGTGTGACAGCAATAGAGACGGGCTAGATACACAAGGAACTCATGCTCACAGAATGTATATTTCAGTGGGAGAAGAATATAGAAATCAGCAAGTACATACACAGGAAATTGTTGGGTAGTCTACCACAGCGAAACCTTCCTAAACCTTTGAAGGTGAACTGATTGGATCCCTTCACCTCAAACTCTTCTAGAAGTTCTCTACCCAGTGCAATGCTCTACTCTTGAGCTCTTCTCTCCACTATGGGGCCAACAGACAGTCAGGCCCCAGTCCATGGAGTCCTACAACTTCTACCATCCACTTCGGCTTTCTGGGCTTCATTTTCTCACCTGTACAATGAGTGTTAGACTCGAACTTCAAGCCCTTCCAGAGTTCTACAAGTATGATTCTATGAGAAACTGAGGTGGCTGGGGTGGGGACAGAGGTGGATTTTTCTCTTTGGTCTCCATTTAGAGTTACATCTAAAGGTGTAGCACATCTTTCTAGAGATGTGTTGCCAGTATTCTTTTGGTAGATTTTTTAAGTTTTTTGAAGTTTAAGACAACATACACCCCTTTTTAAACAGCGCTTAATGTGGAACTGAGAACCAGAATACACCTAAAAAGAGGGACGTCTCTCCCCTCAACATCACCATCACCATAGTTATTTTTTTTAAAGATTTATTTATTTATGCATACAAGAGCTGGGGTGCAGGCCAGAAGTGCAGGGGGTGAGAGGATTCACCAGAGACAGAGCAGGGAACAGAACAGGCAGACTGACTGAAATACACTGCTGAGGGGAGCAGCGGGTGAGACAGGAGAGGTCTGCTGCGCCATGTGGGTAGCTCCCTGGCCAGGGATTGAACTCGTGCTACAGTGGCTGTGCATTGCTTCA